TTGTGTGCCCGTCCAGTTCCTCCGGACTTACATAACTTCTCGGGTAAACTTCTGGAGGGCTGGACGCAGCCCAGCGCCGCCGGTCCCGGCTCCACAGGGCTCCAACTGAGCCCTCTAGTGGGCTTCAAAAATTCCACAAAACACCAGAGCCTTAATTTAATTAACACTCGGCCAGAGGCCTCTAAACCCTAATCCTCTCAACAAAAGGATCATTAAGTAAATGAAGAGATTCAAGAGAGCCACGGTGCTCCCAGCCCCGGCAAGGCTGTATGTGTGCTCTGGTGGGCACACACCAGGGCCTGAAATTCAGCCAGATCCCCAGACCATGCAACAGCCCCACTGAGGGTACAGGGACCTGCCTCACATAGCACTCATGGCAGAAGTTGGACTCAGCAGTCACCCTGCCATGCCAGAGAATCACAGAAGCATGTAATGGTTTGTGGTGGAAGAGACCTTACAGCTCATCTCATTCCAACCCACTGCCACAGGCAGGGACACCTTCCACTAGAACAGGTGGAAATTTGGGCACAAGCCCATACCCATCCTATGGGATGCACCATGATGCCAACAGTCCTGGTGCCATCATCTCTATCAGGACTGAAAACCCAAACTACTGAACCAGGAGAGCAGCTGGAGCACCATTTATTTTTTAAGTGTTACTATCCAGCCTGGATACAGGTAGAGCGCAGCCTCAGTCCCTCAGCTGAAGGCTGGGAAAACACTTTCATCTCGCCCAGCCTTGCAAGCATGACCAGCAGGAAGGGCTCTCCTCACCAAAGAAGCTCGGGTGCACCTTGCCAGAAGAATTCACAGCACACAGGGTGTAGTCAGGGAAATGCCTTCACAGTCAAAGGTTCCCAGCCCAGATACCTCACCCCAACAGGACAGGAATGGAGATCTTGCCCTTTGCAGGTGGCTCTCTTGGAAAGTCACCTCCAGCTTCAGAGCCACACAGAGGATCCAGAGCAGCTCTGAGGAGCACATCCATGAGACAGCTCATTAGTGCAGTGAACAGGAGCAGAAGAGCTTAATTACTGGGCAGGAATCATTCCCTCTGGGTTTGGATGCCAGCAGCAGCCTCCACAGGGCCATGCTGCCCCACAGGATAGGCGCTCCTCAAAAGCACCCGCAGCCAGTGTGAGTGGGATCCCAGCTGAGGCTGCAAATGGTCTGCAGAGCCTCAGGCTCCAAATGTGAGAAAGCAAAATGAGGAAGAATTCAGGTGTTGCTCACCTATAGGCATCAGTCCTCTTATTTTGGTGCTGTGTGTGAGCACCCCAGTCTCCAATGCAGCTTTTGAAGCTCAAATCAAGCAATTCACCAGGACACACACAGCAGTAGCTGCTGGTGGAGTACACCCCAGAGGCTGCCAAAACCTGGCAGGGTTTTTTGGATGACCAGGAGATGCTTTAGTGTTGGTCTTTCTTCAGACCAACACAGCCTTCCTGGTACCTCAGCCCTCTAGGGTGCCAGCCAAACTGGTCACAGACCCTCCATGTTTGGGACTGAATGCTGGACAGCATTCACAGAGGTTTCCATTTTTAGTCTTTGCTCCTGTCTCCTCCGTGCATCTCCTCGGGATGTGCCTTCAGGATACAGTTGACAAATCAATGCTTCCTTCTTGCCCAAAGATGCAGAACAACTGCTCCCAGAGCAGTGGGAGGATGTCTTGCTCTGACCCTGGGCAGATTTCAGCATACCCAGAATAAGCAGTCCTCTCTACGTTCACCTCCTGGGAAAATCCAAAGAGCTCCCATCTCCCCAGCCTGGGAAAGAACACAGATGGTCACGGAGATTAAAGCATACAGAGAATTAACCACCCTATGCAAATGAGCTTCTTCATCCAGCCCAGCACTGCCAGGTGGTTCGAGGTCCAGCACTTGGATGTGATCATCATGGCCTGCTGAGCTCCAATAACAGCCTTGTATTGACTAGGACAGGGGTCAGGAGGCTGAGCAGGAAGAAGACAATTTGTAAGGAGGGAAGGATGCAAACTGCCAGAGCCAGGCAGCTACCGAAGTCACGTTCACTTCATGCTACAACAGAAGAAAAAGCAGCAGCGCCAAAAACAACCCTGGTCAGCAGCACAGATCAATTCTGCACTTGCATATCTTGTGTGTTGCCACTCAAAGGCAGCTTGGATGGACCAAGCAGTGCTACAACCACAACGTGAGCCATCTGCAACTCTGGACGCTGCTCGCACAGCACCAGGTGCCCACAGGATGGCACAAGAAAACCCATACCAGCTCCTGCTGCCTTTCCTAGAAGGCTGAAGTCTTGGCACCCGGCTGAGGTATGGGATCTGTCAGCACAGCACATGGGATGGGGCCACATAACCTTCCCAAGAAAGGCAGGGTTTCTCCAGGCTACCACCCAGGGAGGAGCCGCACCTCAAACCCACCTGCAATAGGTTTAGATCTTACTTCATTTTTACTCAAAACCTTTTTACTTTAACACTTAAAAAATATTCCAACAGGAGTGGACATATTGCTCAGCCAGTGCCCAGCTGCCAGTGGATCCTCAGGGCCAAGTTTCAGGCCATGTCATGATGCAGATGACTGCGTTTGCTATTAAAAGCCTCCACTCTGCACCCAAGGAAATTCTCAAGCAGTGCTGACCCCATCTGCCAGCCCGTGAGCCTCTGAGCAGCCAGGGATTGGCCGAGGCCAATCCGGGCCATATGGGAGGGGTTCACCTCCACGTCAGACACGGCACCTCCAGCACAACATCAACACACACGCACAAAGTCACGTTATAGCTCAACGTGGCTCTGTGCCGGGCTAACATCTGCCCTCCCTCGTTCCCACACTCAACGTTTGAGTTCACCTGGGGGCAGGGAGGCAACTCATGCTGTCCTGCCCAATACATAACCTCAGCACAGACAACGAGCTCCCTTCAGGTTCTGAAGTGCCTACAAGCAGCTTATCCATCTCCAAGGGGCTTTGGAGAGTGGATACAAAAATACAAGCCCTTGGCTGGCTGGTTCTACCCAGTGAGCACCTAAACCACCACAGAGATCAGGTCACAGAGGTCACATACAGCTGCCTTAACACCCTGGTTTTTGAGGCACCAGTCCACCCCACTTCCCCTCACAAAGCTGAAGTCAGTGCCAACACCAAGTTTTCCAGGCCTTAAGGCTCAGAGTTTCCCCATAGCTGCCCTGCACTGCCTTGTTAGCAACACCTACCAGATTGCTGTAATGCCACTGCAGTCAGCTCCAAAGGCTCCCAGCTCGTGCCAAGCCTTATGTCCCCTCCTTAAATACAGCTCTGGTCAACTGTGGCCAGATGTCATTACCTACATAAAAGGCACTCAAAGCCACCTCTAATAAGAGGATGTATTCATACTGTTAGGCCGAGATTCCTCCTCTTCTGCTGCTTTCCAGGGCTCAAAACTTGCCTCACAGTAAGTGGATCAGCAAGAACTTCACCCCATTCCTTGTTACAAAACCTGCCTTTCCCAGGAATGGAAGGAAAAGTCCTGTTTCTCAATCATTTATCCACAAACAACCAGAGAACATTTTAACAGGATTTCTCCATTTAATTGAATAGCACACAGGGGCTTTATTTGTGTTGGCAAAGGGCTTTGGGGTGAGCAAATGGAGGAGCAAGGGCAGGCCCCATGCCCCAAAACACTTCTCAGAGGCCAGGAAACACATCCAGGTGGAGCCCACAGCCTTACATAGGCCAGGACGGGCCTGGGGCGGCTCCCAGAGCATCAGCATCTTCCCAGAGGGGTTCCCAGCTGCCCCAAATCTCCAGGAAGTTACCACCAGGTTTGACACAGCATAACAAGCCGCCCCGAGTTCCCATCACGCCTCTTCTCCTAAAATCTGCCAACGAGTGGCAGTTTTGGAGCCTTCCTGGAGCCTCAGGGTCTGAGGAGTTGAGATAGCAAAAAGCTGTCCCAACACAGCATTTGTGTCCCGACACAGCATTTGTGTCCCGACACAGGCTGTGAGCTGGGAGCCCAGATGGTGGCTGTGAGCCCTGCTCTCGGCGCCCCTTCCTCATCTGGTAGTCCAGGCTTTTCTCAGGGGGGCATCAGGAGGGGACTAGACACAAACCATATTAATTGGATAGACAGAGAGTCCTGCAGCCCTACAAAGCTGTGAGCAGCTGCTCAGAACCTCTTGTGAACCACAAAAATAGAATGGATTAAACACCACAAACACCCTTTTCTTCCCTCTGTGCAAAGAGCTATTTCCCCCACTGTGGTACCAAAGCAAAGTCCAGCCCTGCAGATCAAACCAGGAAGTTTAGTAAACTTTGAGCATGAACAATAGCAGAAGGATTTTCCAGACCTTCAAGCTTGTTTGGCAAATCCCAGATTATGTAAAGCGCTGCTCTGCCATTGTCAGGGAAGCTGTGCCCTGTGCCAGAGCCAGCTGGCACCACATTGCC